AAAAATAATGTGTGTTTTGGGGATACAAGTTTTTCTGTGAAATAATTAGAGATAGTTGATAGGGCTGCAAGTAGCAGGTTACTCTGATATAGTGATTAGTGGGGATTATTCTTCCGTCAATAGTGTTGTTAAATAGTTTGTTTTCTTTTTTAAATATTTCACCATCTAAAACCACAAAATATTTTTTTCAATTCATGAACTCCTATGAGTGCGGGTTTAAATCATTTGGTACAAGTATAAGAAAATTTAGTTTGAGGTTTTTATTATTGTTAGTTTTTTTTGTGGTTTTAGATGTTGAAATAGTGTTACTATTAAAAATGGGTTTGTCAGAAATTTCATGGGGTTCGCTGGTTTATTATTTATTTTTTTTAGTTGTTGTTATATTTAGTTTTTTTTATGAGATAAAGTATGGTTTTATAAAGTTTGTCAAATAGGGTGGAAGCTTATTTTTGTTACTGCTAATAACATATTTAGATGTGTGGAATATCTAGTTTCCTTAGATTTATAAGTTAAGTTAAACTATTTGTTTTCAAAACAATAAATAAACCTTGTGGTTTTAAATTTGAAAATGAAAAAGATTTTTATTTTATTTTCTTTGAATCATAAGAAGATAGGTATAGTTTATTTGTTCTTGGGCATGTGGTCTGGTTTTGTTGGTTTGGGGCTCAGTATGATAATTCGTTTAAATTTAATGAGTCCTTATCATAAAATTATTTCGACTGAGTTGTATAAATTTACAATAACAAGACATGGAATCGTAATGATTTTTTTCTTTTTGATGCCTGTCTTAATTGGAGGGTTTGGCAATATTTTATTGCCAATATTCACACGACAGGGTGATATGAAGCTCCCACGAATTAATTCTTTTAGTCTTTGAATTTTAATACCTTCCATGATAAGGTTGTTAATTAGCATGTATTTGGGTTCAGGTGTTGGTTGAACGTTCTACCCCCCCCCTCTCCAGAAAGTACTTTTCTGGTAGTGGTGTGGATTATATGTTAATTTCTTTACATTTGGCTGGTTTATCTAGTATGTTAGGTGCGTTAAATTTTATTATAACCTGTAATTGCTATTTCTATTCTACTTGTTCTGGTTTGAATTCTAAGTTGTACATAGATTGGGTACTTCGTACACCAATGTTTGTGTGGGGTTATTATTTTACTTCTTTTTTATTATTTTTATCAATTCCAGTTTTGGCAGTAGCTATAACGATGTTGT